ATTTGTAATGAAAGGATGTTATGCTTAGATTTCAAATGAATTCAAAGTCTGCTCTGCTTTATAAGTTGTATTTTTAATACTGTTTAATCATTCTAAAATTAACAGAAGAATATTAAAATTGAACTTTAGACATACAGAAGTTAAAGATCAGTCATTGGCTGCTCATGAATATTAATCCTTTTCCTCTCAGAAAATTAAAAAAACTCTATGTATACGTTAAGCAAATGTTTTTGAATTATTTAACCATCCATATTTTATTGCTTAGGCCTCAATGATATAAAGCTGTGGTGGATAAATAAGGATATTAATTTCATTATGGGATTTCCTTATAACTAAATTTTACACAGTTCAAAGGTGTTCACATAAATGTCCAAAATATAGAATGGACAGACATTTTTCCCATCTGGGTTTCCTTATTCCAGTATAAATGTATTTGTGTTAAAATGGTACATATTACTAATAAACAAATTTAAGTAGGGACAAAGACAAATTAACTTTGAAGAAACAAAATGTAAATTGTTTCTTCCTTTTCATTCAGTGAACGAAACAGTGGACCAGGCAGTTGTGTACATTTAATTTGCAGGGAAGACACAGTTTTCATTGGATGAGATTATTGGGCCCAAAACATAAAAGTTAAAAACATCTCCCTCTCTTTTGGTGTAATGAAAGAACAGTAAATTCATTAGTCAATTATGGTTGGATGAATGAATCCTTCCCAAAGTTCTTCTTGCTTTTATGTTCAAGAACATTTTAGGGATGCTTGAATAGATGGCAACAAATGAGTTTTCAGTTTCCCTATGATGAACTGAATCCTTAAACATTTCCAAGTTTAGCATTTACTTCTATGAGCAAGATTAAGATTTTTCCACAGGTTGGGTTGGGTTTTTTTTTAAGTAAAAGTCATGGAAAAGATGCAGGCAATAAACCAAAATTAACAGAAGTCCATGACCTGTCTGTGACTTTCACTGAAAAGAAGGGGGAGGGAGGAGTGACAGCTGGAGCTCCATAGGGGGAGGAGGGATTGGCAGCCTCAGCCCCATAGCCATGGGAGGAGAAAAGCACACAGTCCTGGCTCCAGCCACTGACAGCTGAAGCCGAATTAGTCACGGAGGACCTATAAAGACACGGAATCCATGACCTCTGTAACTAAATTGTATCATTGACTCATATTTCAAAGGTATTTAGGCATTGAGGCACTTAGCCCAAATATTTTTTTCTGTTCCTGCCAGCCAGCTTTTATTTTTACATACAGGCACACAGTGAAGGATCTGAAAGTTGAAACTTCGAACGTAAATTATCCATGTTACCTTTGCTAGGTGGGTGGGTCTGCAAGTGTCTATCATCATAATAAAGTTACAAACAACGAAAAAATAATTTTTGAATAGTTTAAGGAAGAGCCTAATAACATCTTGCTCCTTTGGGGCTTCTCTCACTGGAAAGTGAGGTCATGGTAAAACATGATATTGGATCATGATTAAGCTCTTCTGAAACTGGCTTGCTGATAAATGAGTCTTCACTGGAGCATCGAGTGAATAGAAAATACTTCAGACATGCAACAAGACCAAGTTCATAGCTGCTTATATTTTCCTGGCTATTTGTATTTGAACGCTGAATACTTAATGCTTCATTAATTGTTTTGCATTTAACTTTGTTACAGATAAAATTATTCTGTTTAATATTCTGCTAACAGTCCGAATTAAACAACAAATACAGTAGGCCATCCCTTACATAAGTGCTACAAAGCTCAATTTGTATGCCAAGTGTATGAGCCACGATGATCTGTCAATTAATCTGCAGGGACCCCAGCTGAATCAATTACAGATTTAATAGAAAGGATGCGAATTCTTTCTTTACCACTTGAGTCAGCCTGGGAGAAAGAAATGATAATATTGATGAACAAGTTATAGGAATATATTACATGACCAGGATGGTGATAGTGACTGAGAAATGCTAAGGGAGATTAGAGAAGCTATATTTAAAAAAAAAAATCAATAATTTTGATTGACCCATTTTGACTGGGTACACGTCATCTCAGAATGGGATGCAGAGATAAAATTTTTTGCCACCTTAAATTGGACCACTTGAAAATAATGACCGTAATTAGCATCTTGTATTTCCTGTAGGAACCATCCCTGGCATGCAAGTTGGTATGATCCTGACCAGCGCCAGCATTCCCTCAGTAGTTTGGCCTACTTGACAGTGACAGGTGCCTGGACAATGGCCCCTCTGGAACCCATGGCCATTTTCCCAAGGTGCTCAGTGGAGATGTTCCTATTCGGTGGCCTCTGCCACCTCTTCAAGCAGAATCTGATCCAGCAGCCTACAGCATGCAACCTGCTGGTGCTAAAGGCAAAGACCTGTGTAGGATTCCTCCTTTTCTTCTGACGAGGCCTGTGGCAGGACCTAACATAGCACCCTCTCACAACAACTGTAAGGTTCTTCTTAGGAGAGTGACACAAAACTGGATTTCTAGATGGAGAAGGTTAAGGAATCCTCCTGTTTTTTGGTGGACATCTTGACTGCAGCAGACCAATCAAGAGTGGCCTTAACAAAGCCTTATGACAAACTCCCACAGTGAAAAAGATAGAAAATAAGTACTTTGTCCTGGCTACGGGATAGGAATTTTTATATACTTTTCCCCCTAACCTCCTCCAGGGTCCTTGGCAATCATGGCTGCCAATGAGTGAGAGCAATAGGAGTTACTAGGGGCAACCCCTAAGGCAAAGGACTCAAAGAAGCTAGACCTGTTTGGGAGGAAGGTCTACTCAACTGGAGAGGTTGCAGCTCAGGATTGTGAACAAACAAGCAGGTTCTGACTTTAACACTTTGCATTCCTTATTAAAGTTTAAGGACTTGATGCTCCAAGAGGCCAGATGGGAGTTCTCCTGTTTGATGAAGGAGGGGAAGTCTCTAGTGATCTTCCTGAGCAGGCAAGGGGCTCAGGCTTACCCTTACCTCCATGACTGGCTGGTCAGAAGCAGGTTAGGACTCAAGTAGAATCCAGCACACATCTCATCTAGTCATCCTTCTTGGATATAGGCCTACTAATGCATATGCAGAAATCTGCACTTTAACTGGCAGAGAGGATAGAATTAATAAAAGTGGTGCTTAACTCTGTCCAAACCACAGCCTTTCTCCAAGAAGGGCAGATTCAGGCAACCATGATGCTTATAGAGCGCCTCAAGGATTACCTGATTATGAATTCATAGAATTCTCTCTGCATATCAACATTAGGGAGCTGAGGGCAGTCTGTTTGTCTTTTCAGGCCTTCTGGCATCATGTTGCAAGCAAGAATGTGTTGGCTGCCTCCTATCACCAGGCATGGAGGAGCTCTCTCTTCTCTTCTGTCTCAGGAGGCAGTTTGTTTGTGGAATTTTTTCATAGCCTACTTGATTCATCTCAAGGCCTCCTCCTACCAAAAGCACAAAACAAGCGGGCAGATCATCTCAACAGATCCTTCTCCAATTACCACAAGTGGTCTTTTCATCCTGACATTGTGAAGGTAGTTTTCCAGTGCTGGGGAACTCCCCAGATAGATCTGTTCATGGCAAAGCATAACAAGAAGTGACTCCAGCTTCCTTCTGGGTCACAGGCCCAGGTCACTCTTGGATGTTTTCCTTCTTCCAGGGATGGCTCAGTTTTTCTATTCAGTCCCTCCTAATCAAGTTGGGCACAAGGTTCTGCTGAATATCAAACAAGACCAAGTCCCAATAATTTTGCTTGCTCTGTCGTGACCCACCAGTGTTGGATTGCCACTCTTCTGGACCTCTCAGTGATTATACTGATTCCACTACCTCCACTTCTAGACTTGATCTCTCAGGATTATGGTTGTCTACTTCACCTGAACCTTTTTTCCCTCCATCTGACAGCATGGATGCTCCATGACTAATGCCCGCAGAATCTTCCCCCAAGGCTCTTACCTGGCAAAGTGGAAGTAGTTCTCCATCTAGTCTTCCTACATGTCTGACGTATATAATCATCACTGCCATTCATTTTAGTGTATCTACTGCACTTTAAACTGCAGGGTTTAAGTGTGGCATTGATTAACGTCCACTTGGAAGCAATATCTGCTTTTCACCTTTCAGTGAATGGCCAGTCTGTCTTTTGAACCACATCTCTAACTCTTTCTTTCAGAGCCTTGGGAGGTTGTACCCCTAGGTGAAGCAGCCAGTTCCCCCCGGAACCTTAGTCTGGTCTTATCAAAGCTTACAGGCGCCTTGTTTGAGTTGTTAGCAATGTGCTTACTGATCTCTATCCTGGAAGGTGATCACCTTCATTGTTTATATTATAAAGCTCTGATAAAAGATCAGTATTATTCTAAGAAATACACAAATGAGAAAGGAAAGTGTAAAATAGGCTGCAACTTTAGTGAGCATATGAGGGACTGGCAAATATACAGTTTGAACCTCTCTAGTCTGGCACACTCTGGTCCATGGTATAGCATGATTTTAGTTATCCAGATGTCTATTTTTTATGGGTGTGTCCAAGTTTCCCTATGGTCAGAAAAAGTGTGTTTACAGCCACCAGACCTGGCTCTCAGTGTTTTGTGCTGTTATATAGCACTAAATTACTCCTAAATGTCATCTGAGAGCCCAGTTAGCAGGGGAAATGTTGGTAATCCTGCTAGACAATATTATTGATGTTCCATGGTCCCGCAAATTCTCTGGCTTGGCACCAGTCAGGTCCTGAGGGTGCCAGACTAGAGAGGTTTAGTCTGTACTTGGAAGCTTACTTCTAACATTTTATAACATTCATTTTGGTATAGGGTATTATATTTACAAGCAATTGCAAATATTTCTCTTTCTGTATATTAAATTCTGCATGAATAAAGAGTCGTTCTATATAGAATAATGACCACAAGAAAAACTCAAGATAACGATTATATTTAAATCATCTCGTAAAAAATATCAAATTACCTCTATTCATAACATTTCACCTGATAATACAGATTAGTTATGATATTAATTAGCTTTATCTTTTATCTGTTCTTGTTTTTACAGCTTCTGCCACATTTGAAGACTTTCAGATCCGTCCTCATGCTCTATTTGTTCATTCGTACCGAGCACCAGCCTTCTGTGACCACTGTGGAGAAATGTTGTGGGGCCTTGTGCGTCAAGGACTTAAATGTGAAGGTAAGTTACATATTCTTTTCAATCTCAGTCAGAGTCTGGAAGTAAGCATGCCACTCCTGCACTTGACAGGATTTCAGAATAAGGTGAGGACCAGAAGAATTCTAAAATAAAGCAGGAAAGAATGACGAGAGTGCATCCCCTCCTCTCATAATTCTTCTGGTCTCCAAGGGACATCCCATAATACATTGTGAAAACTGGTCACTTTATAGTGAGTCTTGAGTCAATCAAAGGGACCTCTGAATACTTACTAAGACATCAAAGCAGCACAATCAGTGCAGCACAGTGGTTTGTGGACATATGGAGTAAAATCCTGGCTTCACTGAAGTTGATGGGAGTTTGATTTCCATGGATCCAGGATTTTACACGTCTTCTAATTCAGTATGGGCTCTGCTGGTGTGAGCACAGTAGTGTGAACACATAGTTGATTTTGTTAAATTGGTTTAATTATGGAGGCATAAGCAGTAGCAATGAAACTTTTTCATATAAACAAGCCTTTTGATGATGAAACAGAAATTCTGATTTTGTATTTGCTGTGTGACTAAGAATGCTTCCTTATTTAAATATTCCCAGCAAATAAAGGCACATATATTAATGATGGAATTCATATATAGATTTAAAATAAATATTTGTGTGGTCTCTTATACTACTATGTCAAGTAAATGTTCTACCATTTTGATAGTCAATATATAAATGCATTCTTAGTTAAAAATTACTAGGAGTCATGTGGATGCATAAAGAAAGCACATTGCATACCTATTGGATGGCTTTCATTTCAAGAGACAATCACACAGTGTAGTCCCAAAGTTCCCTGTGTTCCACTGTAATATGTGTTCATTCCGTTTTTGGCCATTGAATAATATTTAATTAAAAATGAAGAACATGTAACTGAGATTTATAGTCAGAATTTTTTGCATTAAAGCAGTGAATCCCACATGTTAATTGTCCTTCATTATTATTTATTATTTGTCGTTGTTGTTTTCCTCGTTTTGGGTGTGTAGCACATACTGCAGATTTGAACTAGGAAGGTTGAGAGGCATAGCTCATTGTCTTCAGCAGGGCTTACACTGACCAGCCTTACTCCAGCCATCAAGCAGAATCTTTAAAAAAATATTTTTTTAATGTGCTTAGCCTGTTTTAACCCTGGATCTTTTTGAAAAATGTTTGTGGCATCTCCATTATCTTCCCTAATATTAAATAACGATATGGAGCCATCAGCCTAAGTGGGGTCTTATGATTTGTACTCTGGGTGTGGTTGGGATGGATGTGCTGGCAAAAGGCAGAAATCATATGACTTTGCCTATGAGTGGAAAGTTGATTCCAAATAATCTCACTCCCCTCTGAATTGGCTCATTCAAAAACTTACAATCATCAGAGTAGATTATTTAGGATGAAGAGTTCAAAAAAGTGTGAGCCATTATTCTGGTGGGGAAATAGGCTCTACTCTCTTTCCTTTCAAAAAAAGATTTTGTGTTTAAATAAGTAAATTTGTATCATTTTCTGTCCTACCTAATTGATAAATTGAAATGACAGAAAAAAGACGGGAAAATAAATGTACCAATTCCTGGAGTAAAGGATATTATGGGAAATCAAAACAAGATGTTTACTATGGCTAAAGAAACGATGATAGTTGTAATAATCTTTCTCTTCCTGGCCTAGAACAAATGGTAGCAGAATGACTCTGAATCTATGGAACTTTTCTTGGGACAACACAATAAACTTTCTGAATGTCTGCTGATTTGGAAAGTCCAGCTATTTTATGGGTACATTTGCTATCTGTAATCTTCAAAATAGCCAGTCTTCTTTAAAGGGGAGAAAATGTATATCCCATCTCAACCATAGACAAATAATAATACTCTTAGTTGCATAATAGTGTACTGTGTGATGTGCAAAGATAAAGATTTACAGACTTCTACGGATGTTCACTTTTATGTGTTTAGTTACAAGCTGTGTTTACACTACATTATTTACAGAGACCTAGCTACAGCATGCTTGATTAGGATGCTGCAAGTCGATGGGAGAGAGCTCTCCTGTCAGCTTAATAACTCTTGCCTCCATGAGCAATGGTAGCTGTATTGATGGGAGAAGCTCTTTCACTGACATAGCGCTGTGCACATAGAAGCTTAGGTTGGTACAACTTATGTCACCTGGGGGTGTGAATAGTTCACACCCCTGGGTGACATAAGTTATACCAAAGTAATTTCCAATGTAGACATAGCCTTAATAGTATTTTTTTAATAATCCCGGGTCCAAAACCTTTTATTGACGGACATCCTCTACAGTGCCACTGGATTCAATGGGACTGAAATAGATAAAAATCAAGAAGGAACATAAAAACCCTTTTTGTCAGCATTTACTTTCTCCTGTGTAAATTTAGCCATTACAGGCAGTCCCTGAGTTACGCGGATCCGACTTATGTCAGATCCGCAGTTACGAACGGGGCTTTTCTCGCCCCATAGGACGAGAGCGGCGGGACGCCCAGATGCGCCGCGGTCCGCCGCCCCCATCCTCCGGGGCGAGAAAAGCTTCTCCCCATCTCCCTGGTCTGCAGGGAGATGGGGAGCAAAGCCTTGGAGCACGCCCGCAGCGGGACAGCCCGGGCGCGCTTGAGCTGTCCCCCTGCGGGCATGCTCCGCGGCTTTGCTCCCCGTCTCCCGACCAGCAGACCAGGGAGATGGGGAGCAAAGCCTCGGAGCACGCCCGCAGTGGGACAGCCGCGGCGCGCCTGGGCTGTCCTGCTGCGGGCGTGCTCCGCGACTTTGCTCCTCGTCTCCCTGGTCTGATTCAACTTTAGAA